TCTGTTGTTCTCTGTCTCTGCTCTCCATGTCTCTCTGTGTGTTGTGTTCTACTCAGTGTCTTTCTCTTTGTTTTTCAGTCTTTCTACATTGGTCTCCTCCCCCTTTTCCCTCTCTTCTCCTCACCTCCTCTTCTTCTTTATACTTAGACACACTTGTTTTTCATTTACCCTGACATTCTTCCTTTTTATTTTTTTAAGGTTTTTGCCATAGGGCACATGTCTTCACTGTTACCAGAGAGAGACAGAGACAGTGAGAAGGAGAATGAGAAATCACAGCCTTCCCCAGGAGGGATGTTCATGTCACAACCCCTTCTCCTCCATTTCCCTCCTGGGACTTTGGACACAGAAGCACATGTATCTGGCATGATTTTCAAGCCTCCGGGCCTGAGACCCTAACTGTGGTCAGCCATGTGGGAATCCGGTGCCTTAACCACTTCGCTACCTAATGGCCTCGGCGGTCTTCAGGCTTTAATGTTTCCTACTCTGTTCCTGTCCTCTCTCTTCAAACTCTCTTCAGTTTTCTTTCTTTTCACACACTGTCTCTATCCTCATTCACCTTCTTCGGTCTCTCTCTGATATTCTATGTCTGTCTCTGTATCTGTCAATCCAACTGTCTACATTTCCTTCCATCTGTCTGTCTATTAATCTTTTCCTGGATGATTGTATTTCTGCCTGTTTTTCTTTTCTCTTTCTATCAGTTTCTGTACACATTTATCTCTTTTCTTGCTCTTTACTTTTGGATTGTCTCACCCTCTGTCTGTATCTCCTCCTCTCTGTTTCCATTTCCTCGTCTCCCTCTGGGGGTGTTAATATTTTAATAGCCTTAATGTCTTCACAGGATCCCCAACTTTCTCCATGATTCAAAGTGGCAAGTCTCCCAAGAGCTTTATCTCCACAACAGTTCATTTCCTCCCCTGGACACTTGTCACAAAGTTAGGAAGTAAGACATGGTCCTGGTAGCTTTCCTCTCATCCTCTCCTTGTCTCTCTACACAGTAGCCCTAACGAGGAATGATTTGGAGTGGGAACCAGAGCTGGGTGGGAAGGCTCTTAGAGAAAGGGCTGGCTGGTAGAGACTGCAACCATGCCTTCTGGTGTTTTCTTTGTTTCATTTGAAAACATTTCTTATCACAAGTACTTTCCAGGCCCTGAGCTGGGAGCTAACGATGGATGAACAAATCTTGACCCCTTTTCTCAGAAAGTTTACAACCTGGGGACCAGCAGATGGCATAATGGTTACATCACTGGCCTCCAGTGTAGTCAACTGTGGTTCGACTCCTGAATACAGAGGCTTAAAACTCATACTAGGAGCATGTGCATGTGTGTCCCAAATCCTGAGAAGAGAATGGAAGAGAAGAGATTGCATCATGGCCGTCCCCTCTCAGGGGTGATTTCTCACTTTCTGTCTCTCTGTCTTTCTCTCTCCAGTGAGCACTTGTGCCCTATAGCTCTCAAACAAACAGTTTACAGTCTGTCTAGAAGACCATTTAACTGGTAATTAATATCAGTAAGATAGTAACAATATGCAAAGATGGGAAAAGTATTCACTCCAGTGGGAGAACTAGAGAAGGTTTCGCAAGGGAGGTAAGAATATGCTCTGTGGAGATGAGGACCTTGTCCCATATCATCGCTGTGTCCTCAGTACCTTCAATGTGTCTGGTACATTGTAGACTTTAAATAAGCACGTGCAGCACATGAATGAATTAATGAATATCAGTAGTTTTCAGTGACTCTTAAAGACTTAATCGGGCAGAGAATTTAGAGATAAACATCTCAGACAGATGAAGATGCAGAGAAGTGAAGATATAAACTGCACCCAGGTCCTCTTCAGGTCCAATTCACCACTCCCTAGCTGAGATTCTCTGCACCCGATGGCCTAGCAAGGTTTCTCTCTGGGCATTGCCACTGGCTACAGGGAATTGTCTCAGTCACAGATAGCTCTGTCCAGAGAGCAGCCCTTGACCGGTGGCTGCCTCATTTGGGGAAACAGAGATCTAGCTCCCTTGCCTTAATTTGGAACATTCATAAAGGGCTGTCCCTGCATCAGAGTTCCCTATAGGATCAACTAAGGTTTCAAATCAACATTGCAAATCCTGCCTTGGTCACTTTACACAGGGGTCTCTCCCATGAGGGCTCCTCAGTAAACCTCCTCTGTGTAACTCTCTCTGTTGGAATCTGTTTTCTGGGAAACTGATGCACGCAGGGGCTGATCAAGGACTGCGAAGAGATCTGTGGCTAGCAGGTAGAGAATATGAGGTCAGGGTAAATGTAGGTGTCAAGAACCAGATTATAACAAGCTTCGAATGCCAAAGAAACTAATTAAGATTTTAGTACTGGGGAGCTATTGAGCCGAAGAGTATCTACTTAGAGCTGGGATTTGTCAAGTTCACTGGTGCTCAGTATGAAAGATGGGGCAGAAGGGGTTAAGACTGGGTACAGGAAATGAGTTAAGAAACCAAATACTGGAGCTTCCCTGAGGAGGGAAAGAATGGGAGAAAGTATGAAGGATGGTCCAGAAACATCACCAGGAGTGCTCTCTGGCCTCTTCCTGTGCATACACAGATATATCCCTTCTTCTGCACCTCTGGACTCCATGAGTCACGTATCAGAGAATATCATAGTGTCTCTTCTCAACCCCTGTGGTGCCCATTTAATAGCTCTTGCAATTGCAGGGATCATATATACCTCAGTGTGTGCATAACCCTATTTAAAACCATTTCACCAGAAAACAGCCTCTGCAAACTCTCAGCTCTAGCCCTTATTTCACAGAATTCTGTCTTATAGAATTTTGGCAGATCCATGGATCATGCTATCTAGTCTGGCCTTATCTTTTACAAACCTCATTTTGGGGAAATCAGGCATTTTCATGGAATCGTATGACCTTTCTTTTTTAAATGATTTTTTATTTGCTAGAGGGTGTGTGCACTCACCAGAGAGAGACCAGACATGGGGTAGAGTAAATGAGAAAGTGCTCCTTAGCAGGGATGACCACATCACAATCCCTTTTCCTCCATGTTCTCCTCAGGATAGTGGGCATGTATGTGCTTGTTCCCAGCGAGTTTTTCAAGCTGCCAGGTCTGGGATTCAAACCACACACTCAGTCATGTGAGATCCAGCCTCCTTCTCCTCCTTACCACCGACTGGCTTCTGTGGCCATTCTAACAGTTGTTACAGACAATCTTGACAGTGTGACTTGTATGCAGTAGTCTGAAAAATAATGCGACAGGGTCCTAGAGTCAGACTTCTATGTTTGTGTCTTAGCTGTGCTGTTTATAGAGCTTGGGAATTGAGAGAAATCCCACCATCTTCTATACTTTCAGTTTTATACATGTAAAGTTAGGATAATGGAATGTACCCAATTTCAGAGCTGCTATAGGGAACTCTGGCAGCTGGGTCAGTTGCTATGAATCTGTAGAAACAGATATGATCCAAGTTGAGACTTCTGTAATGGGAAGAGATTTCTCTTGGACTCAGAGGAAATTGGTATAAACTTCAGTTCTGTCATATTACAAACTGGCTGGTCTCTAGCAAGCCATTTCACCCTTCTAACCCACAAGTCAAGTATTGGTAAAACAGAAATCTCATTCCCACCTTACAAAATTATGAGGATCAATGAAATAACAAAGTTCTAAGTCCATTTCTCTTTATCACATGTAGACTTAAATACCACATCATATGATGCTGTACCTGTTGTTTTTATTCTTTTCTTACTTTCTAAATATTTGTTCGTATTATTTTTCTGATGATCAACAGAAGAAACAATGGTTTTAATTGTAACAAATTCACATGAATTATTTTAATCCACTGATGCAAATGTCTCTGGGATTTAACCATCCCTTTTCTCTCCAAGGGAAGAAGCAATGCTGTCCACATACTTTGAAACCATCAACGACCTGTTGTCCTCCTTTGGGCCTGTTCGGGACTGCTCTCGGAACAATGGGGGCTGCACTCGTAACTTCAAGTGTGTGTCTGACCGCCAGGTGGACTCTTCAGGATGTGTGGTAAGTGCCCATTAGTCTAGGAACATAGCATTGGCCCTTGCTTAGGCCGCTTGCTAGAGGCCCTTTCCTGTGAAGAGAAGCTGATCAAGGACCATTTCACTACCCATAACACCTGCCCGTGTGGCCTCCAGTACACCAAGCTACCTTGGTTCCTTTAGTTGTAAAGTGGGATAATTAAACTTACCTCATAGAACTGCTGGAAGAATGAAATGAGAAATGGTAACTTAAGTGCCCACCACACACTCAGTCATGTGAGATCCAGCCTCCTTCTCCTCCTTACCACTGACTGGCTTCTGTGGCCATTCTAACAGTTGTTACAGACAATCTTGACAGTGTGACTTGTATGCAGTAGTCTGAAAAATAATGCGACAGGGTCCTAGAGTCAGACTTCTATGTTTGTGTCTTAGCTGTGCTGTTTATAGAGCTTGGGAATTGAGAGAAATCCCACCATCTTCTATACTTTCAGTTTTATACATGTAAAGTTAGGATAATGGAATGTACCCAATTTCAGAGCTGCTATAGGGAACTCTGGCAGCTGGGTCAGTTGCTATGAATCTGTAGAAACAGATATGATCCAAGTTGAGACTTCTGTAATGGGAAGAGATTTCTCTTGGACTCAGAGGAAATTGGTATAAACTTCAGTTCTGTCATATTACAAACTGGCTGGTCTCTAGCAAGCCATTTCACCCTTCTAACCCACAAGTCAAGTATTGGTAAAACAGAAATCTCATTCCCACCTTACAAAATTATGAGGATCAATGAAATAACAAAGTTCTAAGTCCATTTCTCTTTATCACATGTAGACTTAAATACCACATCATATGATGCTGTACCTGTTGTTTTTATTCTTTTCTTACTTTCTAAATATTTGTTCGTATTATTTTTCTGATGATCAACAGAAGAAACAATGGTTTTAATTGTAACAAATTCACATGAATTATTTTAATCCACTGATGCAAATGTCTCTGGGATTTAACCATCCCTTTTCTCTCCAAGGGAAGAAGCAATGCTGTCCACATACTTTGAAACCATCAACGACCTGTTGTCCTCCTTTGGGCCTGTTCGGGACTGCTCTCGGAACAATGGGGGCTGCACTCGTAACTTCAAGTGTGTGTCTGACCGCCAGGTGGACTCTTCAGGATGTGTGGTAAGTGCCCATTAGTCTAGGAACATAGCATTGGCCCTTGCTTAGGCCGCTTGCTAGAGGCCCTTTCCTGTGAAGAGAAGCTGATCAAGGACCATTTCACTACCCATAACACCTGCCCGTGTGGCCTCCAGTACACCAAGCTACCTTGGTTCCTTTAGTTGTAAAGTGGGATAATTAAACTTACCTCATAGAACTGCTGGAAGAATGAAATGAGAAATGGTAACTTAAGTGCCCAGCATACAGTAGTCCTTAAGAGCTCCTGGCCTCCAGAAACTTAACAATCCATCCAAGAATAAAATAGGACATGTTTTATTTCTATGAACACAGTGGGATGCATGACAATGAGATGTAAATAGCACAGATAATACATGCTTTGGTGCAGTCCAATAAAGAAAATTTCATCCAAGACCTAAGGTTTGTAGAAGGCGTCTTTAGGAAGTTGTTGTTATAATTGACTTCAAAACATAGATCACTTACTTTTGCAAAAGAATCTAGGCAGTGAATGCACAAGTGTGGAAGGGAGACCAGCCTCGTTTGCATGAAGCTTTAGTATCTTGTGTGGAATAAGGATATAGAATATATGTGAGGATTCCTGGTGCCCACAGGAGGGCCTTCCAAAATTAATGGTTTGTTTTGTAAGAATAACCTAGGATACTTGTTTAAAAAGGTTTTGGGGCCAGCAGATATGGTGGTTAAGGTGGTGGACTTTCACATGGCCAACTGAGGTTCAAGTCCTGGGCCTGGTGGCTTGAAAATCATGTCTGGCATGTGTGCATGTGTGCCCAATATCCTGAGAGGAGAATGGAGGAGAAGGGAATTGTAGAGTGGCTACCACCCTGGAAGATGACTTCTCACTTTCCCTCTCACTGTCTCTCTGTCTCTCTCTGGCAAGCACACATACCCTATGGAAAAAATTTTCAAATAAGTAAACAAATTAACAGGGTATCCTGAACAAAATTTTAAAATTGAAAATATAATAAAATGTAATAAAAAAAGGTTTCAAGGTTCTATTCCTACAAATATTGGATCCGTATAGGTCCTAGGAAGCTAAAATTTTAACAAGTGAATGAGTGTGTATATGTGTGTATGCACATGTATGTATGAGTGTGTGTTGAGGTGTCTTGACTTGGGAAACATTGCCCTGAAAGAGTAACTGAGCCTGGCACTCAGTGTTCTTCTTGTTCTGTCAATTTTCCAGCCTCTCCGACCGTATCTCTTACATGTTCAACGATAGAGCCAAGTAGATTTCATTAGATGAGGTTCTCTCTGAACATGCTCATCCATATTTGATATCTCCAGGCTTTTCAGCCTCTCCCCTCTACCCCGAGGTGGTCCTCTTCTCCTTGAAGAGAAGTAGTTATTCTCTTCTAGGTAGCATTACTAATTTCTGTACCCACATTTATTATAACCCCTGTGACATTTTGTAGCATAATCTGCCTTTTTTAGTGTATCTCTCCCAATAAAGTGAGGGAGAACCCAAGGAATCTTTTGATTCAGTTTAGCACCCCAAAAGTACCCATTTCAGAAATGAAGGAGAAAGGGAGAGAGAAAAAGAGAAAAAGGGGAAAGAGAGAGGGGGACATAGGGAGGAAAGGTGGCATGGGGCAGAGGTAGGGATAGCTGCTTTGCTCTTGGCTCTCTGAAAGGAACCCAAAGTAGATAGAACACAAAGTCAACCCTTAACACATCTTCATACCATCTGGAAAATAAACAAAGCCTGGAAGACTAACACAAAGAAAAAGCTTCTAGAAAATGAGATGATGCACTGCAACTATATTTTTGAATAAAAAATCAATAGATCTTCAGAGGTGGCTCTCTCTCAGTTGGATATTTTATTGATTAGAATTCTTAGGTCTAAAAATAACAGAAAGTCAGCCCAGCTTCTGTGGCACAGTTGGCAGTATACTAGAATACAGAACTGGAAGCCACATTGCTGATCATGGTTTGAGTCCTGGCCTGGTTGAAAATGCTCTGGGTGTGCCCGCATGCCCCAAATCCTGGTGAACTGGAGGACTGGAGGAAGGAGATCATGGCATAAATGAGCTCTGTGGAGGGTGCTCCTCACTCTGTCTCTCATGTACATGTTCATATAGTGTATCATGAATAAAAAAAGAAGTGACAGAAACTCAAGTCAAACTAGTTTAGACAAAAAAGAGGACATGCATTGGCTCAAACAGAAGTCTAAAGACACTCACATTAAAGGGCTCAAACAATGCCACTGGGGGCCCTCTCTCTATCTCAGCTCTGCTTTCTTTGTTTTTATTTTGTTTTGTTTTGTTTTGTTTTGTTTTGAGAGACTTTTTGCTATAGGGCATGGGCATTCACCAGAGAGACAGAGAGACAGCGAGACAGAAAGCGAGAAAAAACCCCTCAGGGGGGATGGCCATACCACAGTCCCTTCTCCTCCTTTCTCCTCCAGGGATCTTGGGCATGCACACACATGCACCCAGTGTGAGTTTTAAGCTGCCAGGTCCAGGACTCAAACAGAGATTGACCATGTGGGAGTCCAGCAACATAACCATTATGCCATCTGCTAGCCCCGGCTCTGTTTTCTTTAGTACCATGCTGTTCTCAAGCAACTGCCCCCCTCCTATTCAGCAAGTTCTGCAGGACAATGGCACTTCTTTCCTGGTCCCTCCAACTAGAGTCAGGTGTCCATCTCATTGGGCCACCTTGGTTCTCATGCCCTTCACTGTACTTGTCACTGTGGCCCAGGAAATGGGCTGAATTCATCTAAGAACCAGTCACACCTGGAGCTTGGACCAGGAGTTAGTTATACCTGAAATGCATGGCCCTGAGATGGGAGAGGCATAGATTCTCAAGGGACAGGTGGGTGTCTGCAACAGGAAAGCAGCTATGGAAGCTAGGTTCATGAACATCAGCAGCTATCTACTCGAGAGTATGGCAACCCAGACCTGTGTTTGCTTATTGGGAAACTGAGGGCCAGTGAAGGAGAGGGTTGCCCAAGACTCAGAGCCAGTCAGTGGGTGGCAAACAACTCAAAAGAATGTCCCAAATCCATGTTATCTTTTTTTTTTTTTTTGGGGTTGTTGCTATAGGGCATGTACGCTCCCCAGAAAGAGACAGACAGAGAGACAGAAAGCGAGAAATCACCCTCCAAGGGGAGATGGCCATGGCACAATCCTTTTCCTCCATTCTCCTCCCAGGAACTTGGGCACGCACACACACGCATTCAGTGTGAGTTTAAGCCACCGGATCTGGGACTCAAACCATGGTCGACTACATGGGAGTCCAGCAATGTAGCCATTACGTCAACTGCTGGTCCTAATTCATGTTATCTTTAGAACACAAGGTTGACTTTTCTAAAAGGATTAAGTCATCTGCCTCTTTTCTCTCTTTTTTTGGTCAGCTCTCTTTGCTGAACTAATTAAGCTCTTTATTTTTTTAGAATAAATGTTCCATAAGAATGAAACCTCTGAATGGAGAAGGGTGCAGAAATAGTCTAGGCAGAAATGTTCTCTTTTCCCCTCTTATTAATATAAACTAAAAAAAAAATTTAAAAAGAGAGAGAGAAAGAACATTCATTCCCTGGAGGTTTCAAGAAAATTCAACAGTCTGAAGAGGCTGTCAAGGACCTTCCTTTCTAGATTACGAATGTAATGTTAAATCTGCAGCTCCAGGGTTCAGTGGCTGTAAGGCAAGCTCTTCTCCGTGCCTTCAGAATAGTCAGGGCAATACTTACTTTTACATGGAGATTTAAAATCTTTTTTTTTTTTTTAATTTCTCTGTAGACTCTCCATTATGCCTGCAAAGAAAAACTTTCTCTCATAACTCCCTTCTAAGAAATTCCATCTTGTATAAAATAATAGTAATTGTATTTTCAAAACACTTTAGGGTTCTCAAAGCATGTCTACATCTCCTAACTCAGACTCAAACAATCCTGGACCACAGATTCCCTTATGGTTGTGAAAAGGATGCTCAAGAAGTCGAGGGGCTTTTCAAGGTCTTACCACCAGGTGGCAGGATAGAGGACCAGAGCCATGTCTTCAGTATTATTTTTAGTGTCAATTCCAAAGTGGGAGCTGCTAAGATATCATGAAGAACTATGGGTAAATTGCACTTAGGCCTTCAACTGGTCATTGGCTAGCTCTGGAATCTATGTTGACCTCACCAGCCCTGGTTCCTTAATCTTTCAGAAGGAAACAACAGCTTTTGCCTAGATAGGTTTTCTGAAAAATCACCTGCAATGATTTGGGATTTATGTGTGAGATATTTTTATGTGGTTGATATGATATTTGGGGCCACATACATTTTTTAACTTTCTATAATGTTTCTATAACTGAATTTCTTTTCTATGTCATCTATTTTTAGTGGACGCTTAATTCTACTTATTCTTGTTTTTTTTGCCTCTAACCTCTTCGTGGACATTTAAGATTAAAGGAGTCAATATGCCCCAAGGCATTGGGGGTGAGGGGATGTTGGTGCTGGGTTATCATCTCTCTGTCTGGTACCTGTTTTCTCATTTCTCTTTTGCTATCACTCTACCTCCTCTGTAGGATTACAGGTGTGTGGACCACCCAGGCACCTGCTGCCTTTACCCTTTTTGTTTGTTTGTTTGTTTGTTTTAGGATTTTTGCTGTAGGGCATATGTACTTGCCAGAGAGACAGAGAGACAGAAAGTAAGAAATCACACCCCTGATGGGATGGCCATGCCACAGTCCCTTCTCCTCTATTCTTCTCTTGGGGTTTTAGACATGCAGACACACATGCCCAGTATGAGTTTCAAGCTGTCATGGGACTCAAACCATGGTTGACCATGTGGGAGTTCAGTGCTGTAACTACTATGCCGCCTGCTGGCCCCACCTTTACTCTTTATCCCACCGAGATGATTTAAGGCAGCTGCCCTTATGCATCACATGACTTCCCCATCTTCCTGAGGGCATGAGCAATGTCCTGTGACTTTTATGCACCACCCCAAAGATCTGAATGAGGTTGTATGAAGTGCTCCTGACCTAGACATGCCAGAATGGCATTTGTAG